GCATAATTCTTGTTGAAATCAGTGAGATCACCATGCTCTATAATTTTTCATTTGGGCAATGGTATTTTGATTCACATTTGAATGCATTGAACATTTTGCTGATGTAGGCAAATACATTTCAACACATGATGCTATATCTTACATACTACCACTTAGATAAATCATCTGTGTCTATAATCTGTGTATATATAATTGATATATATGTATGTATGTGTGATTGTTACACAAATGCACACACACATATATATATCTGTGTATATATATATAATTGTTATATAATATATCAATTATATATACAGTTTCAATTAAAGGTACACAGGTTAATTAAATAAAAATATGAATTAGGATAAGAGGCTGGTATGAGAAAGGAATAATGGTATATTTTGGATGAATTTTTGACTCACAAAAATAACATCTATGCATTTTGTATCAATTCAGAAACCCAACAGCAGCCTTAGGTACCTGGCATCAGTCAGCTGTATAGACTATAACATATTTCATTTTTAGTCAACATGCTAAGATCTGTACTCAGCATGATTATGACAGAGTGCTATAGAGATTTTACAAGAAAAGTGAAGAATGTAGATAAGGCAGTATCTTTTTTGGACTACTTAATCCAGCTCAACAACTTCAAAATCTCATAAAGAAATATTTCCAATATTTATTATCTTTATAACTGGATGATCTAGATTTTTAAACAGGATGATCTGAATGCAAAATATATGCTATAGACTAGTACTGAGCAACAGATCTTTACCAATATGATCTATACCTGGTGACAATAGATACAGTACAGGTTCTCTTGAGAGATTATTTGATTTTTTGAAATTAGAACTCTTGCAAATTATATTCAAATAGAAGTTTCTAGGTGGTAGATAGAAATGAGATGGAAAGACATTGGATAACACATATCTAACTGAAAACAGGATAAATTCCACCAAACATAATGTAGCATGTTAGATGAAATAATGACATATTATATTTTCTCCCAAAATAATCAGTTTAATAAGGATGGATATTTTCTTTGTGGATTTGTATTGGCATCTCACAATGTTAATGCATCAGGAATAAAGCATAACAAGTATTAAAAGTACACAATTTTTAACTAAGAATATTAGTTTATTCATACACAAGTCTGAAAATGCTATCGTTATACATAATAGAATATAATTTGAAGATGTGTATGACATTATTATTAGTAATACCTTCATACCTGATGAGCCAAAGTATTAAATCAAAGATACTTTCATTACCATCAGAATCAGAGAGAGAGGGAAGGGGGGGAGGTAAGGTAAAGGGAAATAAAGTAATATTGTAGGCAAACCCATATTTTTATCATTTATAAAGCATGATTGTGGATTGTTCCTATGTTCCTGGCTTAGTAATGGATAAGGAATTAGCAAACTATCAATGAGGAAGTTTCAGAAAATATTACTCATTTAACTAGACATACCCAATTCCAGCAACTATTCTTTAAGTTTTAACCTCTAGTACCCCAATCATCTTTGTTATTCTTCTCTGCACTCTTTCTAGAGTCTCAACATCTTTTTTATATTGTGGCGATCAAAACTGGATGTAGTATGTGGTTTTACCAAAGCATTATAAAGTGGTATTAACACTTCACGTGAACTTGATTTTATCCCTTTTAATGCAGCCTAGGACCGTGTTGGCTTTTTTAGCAGCTGCAGCACAGCTGGCTCATTTTTAAGTGATTTTCCACTAGGACTCCAAGATCCCTCTCACAATTACTACTATTGAGCCAGGTACTACCTATATTGTACCTGTACATATGTTTTTCCTTGTTGAAATGCAGAATCTTACTTTTCTTATCATTGAATTTCATTTTGTTAGATAGGGCCAAAAGTTGAAGTTGTCAAGATCCTTCCATATCTTAAGTCTATCTTCTGGAGTATTGGCTATTCCTGCCAGTTTGGTGTTGTCTGCAAATTTGATAAGTTCCCCATCTATCATCTAAATCATTGATAAAGATATTGAAGTGTATTGGGCGTGACAGAAACGTGGGGTACCCCACTGCATACTTCCCTCCATGTAGATGCCGTTCCATTGGGGGCTACACATGGAGTGCAGTTGGTCAGCCAATTATAAATTATTAATTTAATGGAGATGAATAGTTTAGAAATATGAAATACAACTACATAAATAAAATGTGGCTAGTTATCAAATTATTTATAATATTAAATAAGAATGATTCAGACATTAATAAAATCATCTGCTTGGTAGAAGTTTAGCGAAGCTCAAAAAGCAAATGTTCATATGGAACACGCATGGATAAAAGTTCTGCTCTGTGACATAGTTTTTTGTGCCTACTAATGTGAAAAATTGAAGTTTGCCTTGCACAAAAATAAATCATGATTTGTTCCATTGGCTCCATTACTGACTAGGCCATTTTTACCTTCCTTTCACAGGGTTGTATTTTTTAAATATTATTTATTACTGTGGCTTTTAGATTTTTATTTAAGCATGGCTGTTTAATTTATTGCTGTTGACTGGCCAGTCCCCTTTGGCTTTGGGGGAAATGGGTAGCTGTATAAATTTGATAAATACATTTCATTATAAAATTAAATAATGATTAATTGTATGTTTGCTCATCTAGTTAATAATTCCTCTTTCTGTCATGATATTTAGTGATAACTTTTGGAAGGACTCCATTCACCCAGGTAAACTGGGATAAATCTATATAGCCCTGAGGCTTCAAATTGTACATGTTAGTACAAAATAGCAAAGTGCCTAAACACAATTTTGTTTAATTGTATACTTAGAGGTAGATATGTAAGTTAGAATCAAACAATTTAACAGGTATAATTATGCAGTATTAGGCCTGCAAATCAAATTTTTATTTGCTTTATGCCATGGAGATTTCAATTTAGCTAACAAGAAATGATTTCTCTGAGGCATTTTGTGTCATTGTGTAGCTTTCTCTTAAGATGCTCCAAATTTATATAATACTATTGTATGGAACTAGACACCCCAACGTCAATTTTAATCTATTGTTCATGGCATGAAATTACCCTTGTTCCCTTCCCATGAATGGATAGTTCAAAATTGTTTTATCATTCTTTATCTTGGGGATGAAATTCTATGACTGTTAATAATTGTGCCTAAATGTATATTGTGCTTCAGACTGATGCAGGGATATCCCCTTCCTTCTGGTTACTAGTGAACTGCCATGCAGCCATTTGCCCTCACCATTAGCACTTTGCCTTCCTCAGTTCTTTTCACACATCTCCTAGTTGTGATGCCAACTTTCCTTGTTTTCAACAAATGCAAGAAGACAATAGCAAACCTGTGCTATTTTATGGGGGTGTTTCATTCTTGTCTAACAATGTTCTGAAGTAGCAACTTCATTTTTTCCACATTACAGTGTCCAGAAAATGAATGATGGTAAACTGGACTTTTTAAAAAAATTGCCAGATTAATAGGCCTTAAGTCTCTCCCAGGAGCTGCAAAATCCAGAAGTCTATGTAAGAGTTAAAGAAAGCTGCCAGGAAGCACTGGGACACACATCTACATTTACACAGCACCTCCCCAAGAAACATATTTTAGGGTTTTGCAATTCCCTGAAGCATTTGAGGTGTAAATAGTTCTATTTTTTAATATGTGATACAATGAAATATCTTCTCCAAATAAATGTAACTGTCAAATGTTTTGAAGAAATCGCTAGAACTTTTTTACTCTATAGAAAATTTGGGATGACTTGTTGATATAACTTTTGCAGATTTTATTTTAAAAATATTAAACATAAAAGAAAATGTATTTTTATATATAGGATTAACAGACCAATCCTATATATATTTATTTCAAGCAATGTGCTGTTTACTTTCAGTATGACTCAATTATTTAATCATATGATCTGTATTAAATCAGAAGCCTGTTTTATTTTGATCAAGGTATTTTTATGGACTAATCTCTTCAAATTGTTCTCTGTAAAAGGTACATTCTCACAAACATACTGAAACGATTGGAGTTTTAATCTTAAAAGTTTAAATTTAATTTCACAATAGAAAATAGTTTTTCTCTAAGATGTAATATTAACAATGTAAGAACAATTTCTAAAGCAACAAGGACTTGTACATCAACAAGGAAGACAACCTAATTTACACTACTTTTGAAAAATATGCAGTTTTGGGCAGCAAACTTTGAACACTACAGTAAATGTTAATAGTGGGCACCCTAATCACATGAATTTCCTCCTGTAGTAAATAGAATTGCACCTCCATCGTCTGCAGGGTTATGTGTTTTCGTTTCCAAATGTAATATGCTAATTTGTCCATTCATTGCTGCACGGAATGAATTTGTCCATTCATTTATTTTGGGGCGATGAGTGCCACTTTCTTTTGAAATAAAGTACAGGGATATACAATATAATTTATTGTGGTAACTATATGGAAAAGAAAGCCTCATTCTACTCCAGGCTGTCAGAGGAAAAAGACACAATGAAACATTGCTTTAAAAGGAAACGCGCGAAATAAAGTGGTCCCACTAGCTTTCCAGAGGAAACTTGCTGCTTTACTTCTCTTTTTACATAGCTCTGTAGATAAAGAGAAACTACAACGCGGATGATTAAATTTATATCATATCCTTATACATGAATTTATCCCACGGATTTTTGAGCCTTTATATTCAACGAGGTGCTTTGCGGGGTTAAGGTTCCTAAGCTTTTTCCTCAGATAACGTCGCATAGTTCAGTGAGCTGAAAGTGTCTGCCTTATCGCGGTGACCTTTAAGATACCTCGAGACTATCCACAGCTTTGCTATCCGAGAGCAGCGGGTTTTCCCACTCGGTAAAAGGTTCTGTGAGGCTGCGCTCCCGACCGCCTTAACAGCAGCACCCCCTCGAGATCTCATCGCCAACGGTCCATTAAAAGTAAACTTCACGCGCGGCCGCCGCGTCTCTTCTAAAATATCGCGAGATTCTGTTAAGGAAGCCGGGCGCTTCACTTTTCCCTCTCTTTCCTCTTAGCTCCGCTAGCCGGCCGAGCGCGAGATAGGCGCGCGGGCAGCGCAGGGCGGCGTTTTGGTGCGCTGGGAGTGGGGCGGGGGAGCAAAGGAGCGAGCATTCGGCCGCGCGAGGTTCTGTGGGATACAGGCGGTGCTCTGCTTCTCCGCCTCCTGCTGGGTGCGGAGCGGCTCCGCTGAAGCAAAGGAACAAGCGAAAGGCAGGGAGAAAAGGGACGAGACCCGACTAGGGCATGAAGATGGCGGACGCCAAGCAGAAACGGAATGAGCAGCTGAAGCGCTGGATCGGCTCCGAGACGGACCAGGAGCCGCCCGTGGTCAAGCGCAAGAAGACCAAGGTGAAGTTCGACGACAGCGCCGTCTTCCTGGCTGCCTGTTCGAGCGGCGACACCGAGGAAGTGCTGCGCCTGTTGGAGCGCGGCGCCGACATCAACTACGCGAATGTGGACGGCTTCGCGGCACTGCACCAGGTCTGTGTCTCCTTGTCCCATTTCTCCGGGGCAGGGCTTCAGGAGCTTCTGCTGGGAAGGAGGAGGCTCTGCCGCCCGGGATGAGATTGAGGCCTGCTTCTTTCTTCCACCTAGGATAGTCTGGCTAGGGTGCTTCCGGAACTTCTTGCCTTTGGGCGCCTTGAGAGGAGGGCTGTGGCCCGGCGTCGGAACCTGCCTTCCTGCCCCCCCTCCCGACTTTTAGTGGGGAGCCAGCCCGGCTGTTGAACATCCTTGTTTGGGTCCCAGGGATGTTGGGTTCTGCCGGCTAAGCTGTACCTGCTGATAAGGCCGGGCCTTGCCTTTCCCCCAAGAGACAGGAGCATTTGGTGGTCGCCTTTTCTTTCCTTCGCTGCCGTAGGGCTTCAGAGAGACTTAGTTGTTCTAGAAAAGGGGGACAGATGAAGAATGGAGAACTTCCCCAAGCTTTTCTTTTTTACAGGGCAAGGAGGACGAGGCGAGTCCTTTCACGAAGGAGGTAACTTCGTGAAGTGATGGGGTGATTACCATTGCTAGAGTGGGAAAATTTAGGGGTTGTCCTTAATGGCTGGCTGTTTTGCAGATGAGTTGAACGCCTAAACACATCCGTACTAAATGCTGTTCTTAATTTGTTAAAGTTGCTGCTTGGTGTTTTTTTTTTCCCCTGGTGGTGACTCTACATTATGGAATATAAACTCGGACCCATTACTCGGACCCTTTCTATTATTTATGGAAAGTTATAAAATCATTACTACAAATTAAAATAGGTTTTTCTCGCAAGAGTTCCAAAAATGACAGTTGAGGAAAGATGAGAAATAAACTTGATTCTGAAATGTTCTCAAAATGGATGCTTTGGGGACATTTAAGTTTTATAGGAGTCTGACTGGAATCTCAGATGTTAGCCAAATAAGGAAAGACTGTGGCAATCCCTAGATAATGTTGGATGCTTGAGTTGATGCAGATTTTATTAACAGACCAGGAGAAATAACAACATTATAAACTCACTTTGTGTATATATGTATTTATACCTTAAAAAACAAGTTAATTACTTCAACAGCTTGATTTTTGTTTAGCAGGGTTGTAGTCTTAGTAGTTACTTAAAGATGTAGTAATTATGATATCTTTAGAGACTAGAAAAAGTGCATTTTGCAGTATACTAACAAGTATTGCTTTATTAAGCTATGAAACAGATTTCAATTTAGTCCGTACTTAAAATTCTTGATGATGGCACTCGGAAGAAGAAAGCTTTCATGGATAAGTTGATTCAGGGTAGTTGAACACATATATGTTGTGCCCTTAGTATTATGCAAGATTTATAATGGATCTTGTCTTTTGAATTAAATCCACTCTTCTTCTGATATAATTTAATTAGTTTAAATATATATACACGTCATATTTACAAAATGAATTGAACAGTATTTTAGATTGCCACTTTTGTTTTAAAGCTAAGTAATGATGTTCTCATTTTCCACATAGTAGTGTTAGACTTTATTAGCTTACGCAGTACTGAGAGAAAGCCCACTCTAGAGTATACATGTAATAGAATTTCATATTTGGTCTTTCTTGCTAGTTAGAATTTTATTGAGAAAATTATGTTTCACACTTTAAACTCAGAGAACTTTAGGGTTAAATAAGGTCTAAAATAGTGTTGGTATGTATCTTTTTGAGATACTAGATACGTTTAAAATAGATTTTTAACCTATAGTCAATCCTGTGATCCCTGGAATGGTATCCCAGGCTGTAAAAATATTACAAATATACCCCCTCCAAAACAGGTACTCCTTGGCTTCATCTACAAGCTCCTCCAAAGACAGGAACTCAAGCGGCTTGTGGGGGGAAGGTAGTACAGTATTACAAATACTGTCTCGTTATGTGATAGAAGAAAAAAAAAGTTTTGTGAATATGAAGAAGACTAAAAACATATTACAATCCTTAGGACCTATATCATTCTTATTCCTCAAGGTTTCTCAAGAAATTAGCAAATTTATGCAAACCTTAAGGCTGAGGAACTGGTGTTACATTAAAACCCGTAAGAGGAAAAAAAATGGGAAAAAATCTTTTCTCCCCTTTTGTGACATGAGCTTGGCAGGCTTTTGATAAGATAGTTTTTTCTGTCTTTGCATTATATCCTATTATTTGGTTACATAGTTCGGTATATTTGGAATTTCATGAATGATGTACATTATTTATTAAGGCAATGATTACATACATTATAAAAATTGGCCTAGCAATAACAGAATTTCTGCTATCTTGCAAAAGAGGGATAAAGAAGACCTAATTCAAAAGGCAGAGTCGTTCAAGTCAAGTTGGCTACATGACAAAACACATGTGTACATTTGTGTTTTTTTACAACAGTATAGAACTAGTTTGCTGTTTCCTTCTGGGTTGTTTTTTGACTTCCTAGAATAGTTGGCAATCCTCCAACCAAATGTTAACTTGATCTAGCCTTGTTTAATTTTTTTTTAAAATCACATGAACTTTGTTAAGCTCTACTTTCACACACAGGATTTCAGAATGTAAGGGATTCAAGATTTACTATTTTAAAACTCAATTACAATCTGGCATATAGAAGACATAGTGATTAAGAAAATGATACCTGACTACAATTGAGATAGACATATATTCAGGGAGATAGCCATTTATGTTTAAACTGTTTAGCACATTCAGTGGTAAAAAATGTGAATTGTGCCTTGAAGCAAAGTGTTGATGGTATAAAGGCATGTATTATAATGCTTGCTTAGAAAACAACTATTATATTTGTCCCAGCTGAAGTTCTCTTTAAGAGCATTGTGTTATACTAGTCACTAGGTTGGAAGCTACAGAAGCAAAGAATGTTTTGGGAGTGTATTGTGCAATAATTGTAACCTATTTCTTGAAAAAGTGTTCTGGGTTTGCAAATACAGCTGAGATTCTGATTAGACATGAACATGACTAATAGGTTAGATTCTGAGAAAAATGTAAATGAATTATATATTAATATATAATATTAAATGTTATATTAAATATTTCCCTTTTTGAGCTTCTCTGTGCCTATATGCATTAGGCTGCATGAGACTCTGTTCACATACATTGCTAAGTCAGTGTGCTTATCCATCGTTATCTATTTCAAGTGGGTTTGCAAAAAAAAAAAAAGCCAAAAGCAAATAAACCTTATTGGAGCTTAGCATTTTTTATGAACTAGACCATGTTCATTGGCAGGATAGATAATAGTTTTATTTATATTCATTCCAATTTGGGACTTACCCTGTATAGATAGCAATGCTGAGTCAGTAGAAATGGAACAGATTAGAGTGATACTTTGAAACGTTTGAGCATGAAACAGTAAAATAACAATTCATAGTTTGTATAACTTGCTTTATAATTAACATGTCAAGCTCTGTTTTTATTTATTAAATTTAGATTGCTGTCCATCTCACATGAAATTTAGATTTTGTATGTTGTGATAAGAAATCACAGGACCCAACTATTACAATTTTTTTGATTTTTGAATACTTAATGAAAAACATATCACCTATGCAATTATTTCATTTTGTGCTGTTTGCTATATATATGAGGAGATAATAAGATGCTGGCTGCTTTAATGGTGGTAGCATACTAATGAATTGCATTTGTTTGAAAAATATTAAAGCTAAATGTTTTTGCTTGTAAGTTATATTGATTTGAAATAGTATGTATATGTTACACTGATTGATATAAGTTAGGGTTATAACTTAACTCTATATCCTGCAGAGTTATTTTCTTAACTCTATAGGATATCTACTACAAAATATCTGCTATTAAGACTCAATAAAGCGTATCACTAATCAATAGCCTTCATATCAAATTCTGTTAAATATGAACTTATATGTAGTTCCATTGAGTCTGATAACTACAGCATTACGGCTCAAGGTTGACTCAGCTTTCCATCCTTCTGAGATCCGTAAAATGAGGACCCATACGCTGACTTTGTAAACTGCTTAGAGAGGACCCCTTAGAGAGTGCTCTAAAGCACTATGAAGCAGTATATAAGTCTAAGTGCTATTAACTACATCAAGAATCATATACAGAGTTCCTATTAGTTCTTCTATTGCAATAATGTCTGTTTTACATAAGACAGGATAGGAATAACTGAGCAGTTCAGAAAAAAAAAAAGAATGGGGAGTTAGTGTTGGGAGTACTCTTTCTGTGTGTACCTATAAAATCATATATGGAACTGTGCTATTTTAAATATCAGCCATCTTCTTCATAACAGATTTTTTCCCCAAAAGTGAAAAAGTAGAGTTTCTAAACCTTTGGTTTTATCTTATAGATTAGGTACTCTAGAAAAGTCCAAATACTAATATATTTGTAAAGAAAATTTAAATATTCATTACTGTAAATAAATTATGGAGGAATAATTTAGTTTTGACTGTGCAGTTTATTCTGAGTAACTTTATTCTAATGGTTTAAGCATGTATAAATATAGCAGTAGAAAAATAAATGTCAAGTTTAGATTTTTACCATTTACTATTGACATTTGTATTATTTTTCATTTTTAATGTAATAATAGTACCGTGTTTCTCATATAATAAGGCTGGGTCTTATTTTTTTTTGAGCCCCGAAAAAATGGCTAGGCTGTCTTTTCGGGGGTGACTTAATTCCCCCCCCTTGCATCTTTGGGTGGGCGGGCGGCGACGGCTTGGATGTTGACCTCGGCGTTGGTGAGGCACTTAGTATCGGGGTCAACGCAGGCAGCACCATATCCAGGTGTGCAACAAAAGTACTTCCTAATGGCAAGCCCCCCCCCCCACCATTCCCCCCATTTCGCATGTTTTAATATAGGCCTTAATTTGGGGGGAGGGGCTTAATTTCATTTCATGCCTATAAAACATGCTGGGACTTCCTATTGGGGGAGGCCGTATTGTTGGAGAAACAGGGTAGTAGTAGAAGCAGAAAGGGCTGGAGGTAGATACAGCCTTTTAAATTAACTTCCAAAGTGTCCTATTTTACCTTATATATGTATCCCATCTAGAAAGTGTCCATCT